AATTTTAAATACACTCCCCCCAGCTCATAAACCTCGGTCTGAGACATCTTACCTCCTACTCCTTCCCAGCCAGGCCTGGGGCTCTGCCATATTTCCAGCATGGCTATGCCCTGGGGAGAGGGGGGGCTCAGCTGCCTCCCCTGCCCTGTCTAGCAGTGACCTCAACAGACTTCTCCACCAAATGTGATCGTGTAAGTGGTCAGTTACTCAAGGGCTGAGCTGGTCATTTAGCTGCTTTTGGACAATTCGAAGGTGAAGCAAGAGGCAGCTGTTCTGGTGGAAAGAATGCAGTTCTCAGAGAACTTTCTCTGCGTGAGCCTGACAGTGTGAGCTAGCTTCCCTGATCTGCAGCATCCTCTCCTGTGAGATAAAATGACACACACGCCACATCAAGTGCATCTGGCATGGCGGACTTCCCCTCCTTTTCCAATTACCATCTCTCCAGGATGACAGGCAGGAGACCAATTAGGAGGAAGCAAGGCTGCCACTGCTGCCTCTCTCTGGAGGAAGTGGAATGAGGGCTTCTGTCTGTCTCCTACCATCCCCAAAGGCTAGAGGATGGACTTCCACATGGGCCCCCGGGTATAGAGCAGAGAGGTCCCATGGGAACAGGTCAGATCATAGGCTTAGGAGGAGAACTTGGTGACCAGGACAAAATTCTTCCCCTTTGTGACTCTCATTAGCTTATACGTAAGGCAAGACAAAGACAGCCTGGTCCTCACCTTTTTCCTTCTAGGCTTCAAAATGCTGGAACACCAGCTGTGCCAGCAAAGGGCTGACGGGCTGACCCCAGCCCTGTGGCAGAGATGGTCACACAAAAGTGGTGGCCAAAAAGTGACCAGAGAGACCAGTGAAGGGCAGGGAGGAGGGGGGAAGTCCAGCCCTGAGTAGAGGAGGTTCTGGGGGCAAAGGAGGACTTTGAAAGGATGTTACTGCCAGGCACCGGTGGCTCACACCTGTAATCCCAGCTACTCAGGAAGTAGAGATCAGGAGGATCACAGTTTGAAGCCAGCCCTAGGCAAACAGTTAAGAAACCCTATTTAAAAAAAAAAAAAAATCACAAAAAAGGACTGGTGGAGTGGCACAAGTAGTAAAAGCACCTGCCTAGCTAAGCTTAAGGCCCTGAGTTCAAACCTCAGTGCTGACAAAAAGTAAATAATTATAAAAAGGGACAGATCCAGAAGCACTTTGAAAATGGGGTAATCCAAGCAGGACCTCCCCAGGAATGACCTCCAATTGGCCCTCAGGGGCCTAGTTTTGTCCCTTCCCCAGGGAAGAGGGGCTGTACCACTCCACTCCACTGTGGCACCCAGCAAAGCCTGCAGACACCTGGCACTCAGCTGTGTACATCAAGTCAGTGCAGAAGAACCTCCGGACCATGGCTGGGGGAGGTCCAAGTATGGCCAGGCCAGGCTGCTATCTCTCACTGCAGACGCAGCACGTGCCAGGCGGTCTATCAGTCACTCTGCATCCCTTCTTTCATGTAATCCTGGGAAGCCAGGGAGATGGGTCCTGCTACTACTGTGTCCTGCCAACAGACAAATGGCCTGCAGGAGGCCAGGACGCGCAGCTGCTGAGGATGGAAGCTTGCTTTTCCCAGCCAGCCTCTTAGTGCCCACCATTCTTGCTCTGAATTGTCCACTTGGCCCTGAAGAGCCACAAACAGGCAACCTATGGGACAGAGCTGAGGCCAGGAACCAGGCGGGAGAGGACTAAACAAGCGGCCAGCACCGGGGGCCGCTCAGGGTGGCCTTAATCCTGAGTGCCTGTCCCAGAGTGCAGGAACAAGCAACTGATCTGAGCCAAGCGCTCTGCTCTCTCTGCTCAATGGGGTTTTGTTGACTGCACGCTGACAGGTTCATTTCCAGTAAGGTTCAGATACTCGATGTCCAGAGCTTTCTAGCCAGGCACTTGTTGGGGCAGTGGTGGTGGCGGAAGCATAAAAACTCCCCTTAATTGCCCAAGTAGGGGGACTCTGTAGGACTTTGATGAGCCCCTGGGAGCAAGTCTGTCTCCTTTCTTCCCACATGACCAGGTAGGAGGCACTGGGCCTGGCAGTCACCTGACCACTCTTCAGTCTCGAAACTCACCCAGCACTTTTCAGTGCAAAAGAACCCACATTCCATGCTGTTCTCTGGAGCTTTCCTTCCACAGAGACATCTGGTCCTCATGACTATCAGAGTCTTCCTCTTGCCACCAACCACTGAGCAAAACCAGTGTTCCCCACCCTCGTCCCAGTGCCCCAAGAATGTGCAGCTCACCAGCAAGAGTGAACATCCTTTATGAGGGACTCCTCTACTTTGAGGGGTTTTTTTTGGGGGGGCTGGAGGTGGAACTGAGGTTTGAACTCAGGACTTCACCCTTGCAAAGCAGATGATCAACCACTTGAGCCACACCTCCGGTCCATTTTGCTCTGGTTATTTTGGAGATGGGATCTATTTGCCTGGGCTAGCCTTGAATCTCAATCCTCCTAATCTCAGCCTCCCAAATAGCTAAGATTACAGACATGAACCAACACAACTGGAGGGATTTGGTTTTAAACTATGGCTGGAGCTTATTGTCTCTATGCGTCTAGGTCCTGGGGGACTTGGGTGTGAATTCAGTAGGGGAGGACAGGTGGCAGGACAGGAAGTGTGGTCTCCAGTTCCATGCCTCTCTCCTTGAGAGGCACGTGTGGAAGGGCCCCAGGGCCCTGGGCCAGCATCCCAGTGGTCACCATGGGCCTGACCAGGATGGGCACATTGCCAGGAACACCTAATGAGCCCCCGGGGATGAGACAGGAAACCGCCTCAGGCCACACTCGGAGGGCGAGACTGTTCAGTCACTAGCACATTGTCCCTTTGGGACTCCCAGCAGCCCAAGGACAGGCCTTTAGTTGGGAGCGGGAGGCAGGTATCAAGGTTAGGCGGAAAGCAGGGGAGTGGCGATAGTCCAGCCAAGTGTGGCTATGTACTCCCAAGTCTGGTGGCTGGAGCATTCCAGGGCTTTGGAAGAAGTAGAAAAGGGGCCCCCTAGGTCACCTGGACCCCCAAAACACAGTGAAGGTGTCAGTTTCTCCGGGATCTGCAGACTGGAGACCAGTGTGACCTGCACTTCAAGCTCTCAACTACCTGAGGGGGACCCTTGCACAGGGCACGAGCTGCAGTGAAACAGGGAGCCCTGTGCACCTATCCAGGGGTGGTGGCGTGATTGAAGTCCTCACCACAGCCTGGGGATGATCACAAAATTGGGGAAGTGGTCAGGTCCTGGAGCTGTGTGGCTAATAAGCAAGTACACTGAGTGCTCTCAGAAGCAGGTCCTCTTGCTTCCCTCGCCCCCACCCCAACTCCCCAATTCTGCCTTTTCATCCCTAGGGAAAGCCCTATCCAGTTCCAGAGCTGGACACGAGGGGTACCACATTAGGCAAGGCCCTGAGTGCTAGCCAGTTTTTCCAGGGCATAAGTGGTGTCCTCTGGAGCCTGTGTCTCCTCCCCCCTACCTCACCTCCTTCACCTTCTCCCAAAACTGAGAAGATCTAAGGGTCAAGAGAGTCATGACTACAACAGAAGTGGCAGCTCAGTGGTACAGAGCCTGGGTAGCAGGCACAAGGCCCTGGGTTCCATCCCAGCACCAGAAAAAAAAAGCAGCAAGCAGCAAGACAGCCACGGGCCTGGGTCCAGACACCTGTTCTTCCTCACTGAGATACAGCAGCCATAGGACTGCAGTCAAATTCACACCAGGCAGACCCACCCAGCTCTATACAGGAGTGATCCAAGTCTAACTCATAACAAGAATTCTAGTAAACACCTACTGAGCGGTTTCTGTACCAAGTCCTATGGAAGGACTTTTCAAACATGCAGTGACCCAGGCCTCACAACCTTGAACTAGCAGTGGGTGCTATTATCACCCCTATTTTACAAATGAGGAAATCAAGGCCTACAGAAGCCGCTGGCTCAAGGTCACATGGGCACTAAGTGGCAGAGGCAGGACTTGAACTCAGGTCATCAGCAATGTTTCAGATAGAGATTCAGATAAGGTTACTTGGGGCCACTGGGGCCCTGCCTTAATTTAAGTGCTGATTCTACTCGTTCCTTTTGTAAATAGGATGCTTTTAGGGGTGGGGATGGTGTAAAGAGAAGGAAGCCTGGTAGTTTCAGTCTGTAACCTCTAATTTATCCGTGCAAGCGACAACGAACAAGTTAAAGGGTTTGGAGAAATAACCAAATTAGGTGCTAATAGGTCCCATGTCCACCTCACCCACCTGGCTTCATTAAATCCCCAAGGCAGCTCCTCCAGGTACCTGTGATGGCACTGACTTTGCAGCTGAAGAAACTGGGGTGCAGGGAGGAGGTACTGAACTGAGCTTGAGATCCAGGTCCCTCTGACTCCAAAGCTGGAGGACCCCAAGAGGGGTTGGGGATGAAAGAGAATAAAGAGAGGAAGCGCGGAGAGCCACAGGGACGGACAGGGACCCGGACAACAGAAGGGTAGCGCAGTCACTGGAAGGAGCGACGGCTCCTAGACTTTGGGAATGCTGGCACCCAGGCTCCTAAGAGCCTGGGGTCCCTCGGGTCGGCCAGTCAGGGATGGAGGGGCGGGGAAGAGGATCGGGTGTCCTCCCGCCTGCCCGCCGCTGCCCGGAATGGCAGCACCCCAGTGTTTATGGCCCCCCTCCGCCCCGCGCCACGCTCTGCTCAGCATCAAAGACAGACAGACAGACAGGCAGGCAGACAGGCAGACAGACAGACAGGCAGGCGGACCTCCGCTGGCCAGCACTGAGCCTCCCCCCCGCCCCCCGCTACTCTCTGAGGGACCCAGCAGGGCGACAGAGCGGGCGACAGACCATCCTCCCCGCCCAGAGACGAAAGAAAGGGGCGCCGCGGCCCCTGTCCTCTCCCGCCCTCCCCGCGACGCTTCGAAAAGAGGAGGGGTCCTAATGGACCCCAAGCCCCCCTCAGGCTCCCGTGCCCTTTGTCCCACCGCCCTCCCTCGCCCCCCTTCCCCCGGCCCGCGGCACTCACCGAGCGGCAGGCTGACCCGGGGGCTGAGCGCCCGCGCCGGGGACGGCGACAGTGGCGACATCGGCGCCAGCAGCGCCAGCAGCGGCAGCAGCGCGCACAGCGGCCGGCTCGCCCGGCCCATCGCGGCGCGTGGATCCGGGACCGCGGCGGGCGGCGGCGTCCTCGGGCTCGGGCTCAGGTTGCTCCACTCGAGTCTCCGGCTGCAGCCCCGCCCCGCACCTCGGGGACAGGGGGGCCGGCTAAAGGGAGGGAGGGGAAACCGAGTCACGTGGGCAGCCGCCGCCCCCGCGCGCTCCCAGCTTCCCCCACCGGGCCAGCGCCGCACGCAGGCACCCAGCGGGCGATGCAGGCCGAGGCCGAAGGAGGAAGTGGGGCGCCCGGCCCTGCCTCCCCAGCCTGCCGCTGGCCCGGCCCCTTCCCTTTCCCCTTCTTCCTTCCTGGGCGCTGGGATACGGGGGGCGCCGCTGGGTGCGCGCCTGCCGGAGGTCCCCGCCTGGGGCATCGGTAGTCGCCAGGCGGCTGCAGCGCGGGGACGCGAACGCAAGCTGTCCCCCAGGTCCGCGCCCCACCTCCCCGATCCTCCCCCATCCGCTCCTCGCGAGGGGACCCTGCCCGCAGATCGGGACCCTCCATCAACTAGTCCGTTTAGGAGCTGCGTCCTTGTCCCCTGCTCCTGGCACCCACTTGTCTGTGACCAAAAGGACTCGGCCGAGCCTGGGCAGAGCCTGGGATCAGAGCGTCTGATTAAAAGCCCGGGTCGGTGCACCGCAGGTCTGGGGTGGCATCGCGCTTGGGATTCTGTCCACGCGAAGGCCAACACGCGGAGCCCGGGGGGCGGGGCCAAATTAGCTCAAGTGGGATAATAGGATTTAATGGACTGCACCGCCGAGGAGGGGAGACCTTCCCCACCCCCTGCACGTGGCCGGCCAGGCGGGCTGCAGTGCAGCCCCAGAGGCACCCACCCGCAATCCTCTAGCTCCTCACATCCCCTGAGACCAGGGCTTTCCAGCCGTTCACTGGACCCCTTAGTGGGCTCTGAAATCAATTTAGTGGATTAGTCAACATTTAAAAAAATACTAATGGCTGGAAGGGAATGTGGTTCAAGAGGTAGAGTGCTTTCCTAGCATAAGCAAGGCCCTGGGTTCAATCCCCAGTACTGCCCTGCCCCCCCGCAAAAAAATCCTAAAAAATAATGGAAGTGGCCAGGATTACAGCAAAATGTCAAAAGGAGTTTGAAAACCTCTGCTAGCCTGGCGCCGGTGCAGTAGCTGAGATCAGGAGGATAGGGAGGTTGCAGTTGGAGGCCAGCAGGAGCAAATACTTCTAAATACACCAAGTCTCCAAAAATAACCAGAGCAAAACGGACTGGAGGTGGGGTTCAAGCGATAGAGTGCCTGCTTTGCAAGCGCGAAGCTCTGAGTTCAAGCTCCAGTCTCAAAGAAAAAAAATCTGCTATTTTCCCTTGCATTTGCGAGACAGCTCCTCTTCACCTGCCCAAAATGAGCGTCCTCAAAGCCACATCGTTTTGTTCTCCTCCACCTCCCAGGGTCTGCCACAGCCTCTATCGCAGAGGGGTGGCAGTCAGAGGGAGGACAGCACTCACAGGGTCCCAGGTCTTTCCTGGGGGGTTGGTGATGGGGGTCAGGGGAGACTTTGTTTCTTGGTTGGTTTTTTTGGTGGGACTAGGATTTCATTCAACTCAGGGCTTTGTGCTTGCAGTCGCTCTACCACTTGAACTGCACCTTCACTGCATTTTAACTCTGGTTATTTTGGAACTGGGATCTTGAGAACTATTTGCCTGAGCTGGTGTTGAACCTTGATCCTCCTGATCTCAGCCTCTCAAGTAAGCTAGGATTACAGATGGGAGCCACAGCACCAGGCTGGGTCTCCTTCTTGCAGCTCATTCTCCATGTTTTCTGTACCTCCACCACCCTGATATCTTCTGTGGACGGATGAGGTGCAGGTAACAGCAGTGGACATACATCCACAGGGGATGTGGATGACACCAGGCATTTTTACCACTGTTCGGGTCTTGGATGTTTTCCTTTACTAATGGGGTCACTCCACCTACAGCCAATGGTGCCTTCGATTCTGTTTCCAGCCTGGATCTCTGGTCTATCCTGAACTCCAAAAGGCCTCAACATTTCTATTTGGGGGTCTGACAGGCATGTCACATTAAGCTTATCTCTCCCCTTTTCTCCCCCAAAACGTGCTCCAAACTACAGCTAATTCCCATCACATATAAAGGCAATTCATCTTTAAGTTGCCCGCCCAGGCTAAAAACCACAATGCCTGTCTCTCTCTCACTCTTCACATCAATCCACTAGCAAATCCATCACCTGACCACTCACCACTTCTCTAGGTGCCAGGCCCCACCCTTTTATGGCAAGGGCCTCCTAACTGCTCTCCCTGCTTCCTCCCTGCTCTGCTGCCATGAGTTCCCGGAACAGCAGCCAGACTGAGTCTTTAAAAACCAAAGTCAGAGCTGGCTCCAATGGCTCACGCCTGTAATCCTAGCTACTCAGGAGGAAGAGATCAGGAGGCTCTCAGTTGGAAGCCAGCCTGGGCAAACAGTTTGAGAGACTCCATCTCAAAAAAACCCACCACAAAAAAGGGCTGGTGGAGTAGCTCGAGTGGGAAGAGCGCCTGCCTAGCAAATGTGAGGCCAAGTTCAAACCCTGTGCTACCAAAAAAAAAAAAAAAAAGTTATTCTATAGCAGAATAAAAACCAAAGGAGAAGAGAATTTTTCCCGTTTGATTTGTTGACATATCTGAAGCATCTAAAACAGTGTCTGGACAGGTGATAGGCAGACCTCAGATAGGCTGAACAAGTGAATGAAAGTAACCTAAGAGCCCCAGAATATGGCTGGCTCACATTAACTGACAACCAGAACTATTTTTTGATACTGACTTCGATCCAGTGAAGAATTCCTGCAAAGCTGAGATTATGCAATGAACCTTTTCAACCTACCACAGGACTTCCTCATTATCTCTCTTCAATCTATTGATTCTGCCCAGATTTCATCCCACTGAGGTCATGTGGAATATCAATTCTTCTCCAGTACTTCTGGCATCCCCTCCTGGCTTGGCATCATCCTCAGTTTGGCTAAGTATGCCTTTATTCAAGTCATTGATAAAAATCTCAAGTGTGAAGCCCTGCGTTCAATCCCAGTCCCACCAAGACAGTCATAGTAACCATGAAGAGCAGACACAGCCCCAGGTCGTGCTTTCTACCGCTCTCCAAGAAAAGGAAGTGGGAAGCTCTGAGAGCGAAATGGGAAGCACAATGTCCCTGTGCCAGAAAGCAAAGCAGTGGTAAAAGACTAATGGGGTCGTGTCAAAAGGACATGGCAGCCAGCCTGGAAGACCACTTTGAACATCAAATGGAGCAGTGAAGTAATGGATTCTAATGCATCAAAATGAAAATACAGTCCATTAGTCACTCAAAACTCAGAGAGGGAAAGAGAAAGGACAGAAAGGAAGCTTTGCTTTGCAGAAAAATGCTGGTGAAGAAATGAAAGGGTCAGAAACCCTAGATTCAAGCAAGGATCATCCAGGATGTGAAACCATTGCAAGGCAGATGGTCAGGAGACTATGGGTGAACAAGGTCTCAAAGTCTGTCCCATCAGTGACTTACTGGGGAAAATGTATCTGTAAGGGAGACATCAGGTAAACCGAGTCACAAAAGTAGCATCACTAGCAGGTGACACAATGTACGTCGTTATATGAGGCACATGTGTTCTTGCAGAATTCTTTATTTTGGGGGGCAGGTACTGGGGCTTGAACTCAGGGCTTCACGATTGCTGGGCTGGCTCTCTTACTGCTTGAGCCATTCCACCAGCCCCTTTTTTTGTGTGTGAAGGGTTTTTTTCGATAGGGTCTCGAGGAACAATTTGCCCGGCTGGCTTGGAACCTCGATCCTCCTGGTCTCTGCCTCCTGAGTAGCTGGGATTATAGTCATGAGTCTCGGTGCCTAGCCCTTTAGCATTTCTGCCAAAAGTGTCTAACCCAGATATAATAATGAGGACATAGCAGACACATCAAGTATGAAGAGCATCCCACCTGACAACTGGACTGGACTCTCCAAACTGGACAATCTGGCCAGGCACCAGCTTAAGTTAAGAGAAAATAATCAAAATGCAAATGTGACTCTTGACTGAATCTTAGGGAAGGAAGCAATGAAGCAATTGGGGAAATTTGAATATGTACTGTGTATTAGATGATATTTAATGGCTTTATAGTTCATTTTCTTAGGTATAATTGTGGTATTTCCAAGGCTCAATAAAGTCCTGGTGATTTTGAAATGCCTGCTGATGTATTCAGAGGTGAAGTATAGTGATGTCTAAAACTTAACTGTCAAATGATCCAGCAAAAATAAGCATGTGTGCTGTAATCCCAGCTACTCAGGAGGCAGAGCTCAGGAGGGTCTTGGTTTAAAGCCAGTCCAGGCAATTAGTTCCTCGAGAACCTATCTTAAAAAATACCTAACACAAAAAGGGCTGGTGGAATGGCTCAAGGTGTAGGCCCTGAGTTCAAGCCCCAGGACCGCAAGGAAAATAAATAAAAGAGAGCAAACACAATTGTGGTAAAATTTAACCAGGTAAAAAGTTATGGATGCTTTTGTGCTAATCTTTTGGTTTTTTTGGGGGGGGGAATTAAGGGCTGAAGGTGTTGCTCAAGTGGTAGCCTGACTAGCAAGCTCAAAGCCCTGAGTTCAAAGCCCAAAAATAAATAAATAAAACAGCCCAGGGGCATGCTGTAGAGGCCTCCATCAGAGCTAAAACTGATCAATATCCTTTGTATGTTGAGTCCTCCTAACTGCACCATTCAGCCCACATTTCTCCATATTGACTAAGAATATTATGGATCGAGGTTTGAGGCCAGCCTGAGAAAAAAGTTAATGAGACCCCCATCTTGACCAATAAGCTGGGCATGGTTGTGTACACCTGTCATCCCAGCTACATGGGAAATGTAAATGGGAGGACCATGGTCCAGGCCAGCCTGGGCATAAAGCGAGACCCTATCTCCAAAATAAACAGAGCAGAAAGGAATGGACTGTGGCTCAAGCAGTAGTGTGCCTGCCTGGGAAGTCGAAGGTCCTGAGTTCAAACCTCAGTACTGGAGGGAAAAAAAGTACAGAAGCAATGTTGTCAAATCAAGATGCTGCCTACAGGTCTCCTTCTTCTGACTTCCACCTTCTCACGGGTCATGGCGCCGTCTGCCAAGAACTTGCATCTCAGCAGCAGTAGCTCCTGAATTGGCAGGAGGTGGATCTGACCCAGTGTCTTGGCAACCCAGGGCTTGTCCGAGGCTAAACTCATCCCTGAGGAGAGGAGGCTGATGCGGCCTCGCTTGCTGGTTAATTATATCCTGCTCGCGGCTGCTGAAATGCTGCACAAGGATGTCCTGTGCCAACTGGGCAGGAAGCCTCCGGAGGGCAGTGACAAGGCTTCCGTCTCCGGAACCCCCACTACCTAGCATGGAGTTCGCTCTGGTACGAACTCCACAGGGTGGACGACAAGAGGGTCCCAACTGCTGGCCCACAGAAGAGCCCTCTGACCCACGCCAGCTCGGCAGCCCCAGTCCTGCTAATGCATTCTCCCCAGACTGTAAAATCAGGGGAGCAACAGACAGAGAAAGAGCTCCTTCGAGCCGACTTCCTGGGGCTAAAGAGTGGTTCCCACGTCAGCGACGTGTCTCCTGTCCCCCTGCCACTCTTGAGTGTAAGCAAGTCTTTCTTGGCCAGAACATAGGTGTTTATAAAAGAGCTCAGGGGGCAGCTTGGAAAG